TATGTAATATCCTTTATCATATTTTTTAAAACCTAATCTATTGGGACTGGAGAGATGGCTCATGGGCTAAGAGCACTGACTGCTCTTCCAGAGGACCTGGGTCCAATTCTCAGCATCCACATGGCAGCTCACAGCTGTCTGTAACTCCAGTTTCAGAGGACCCAACACCTTCACCCAGACATACAAAACACCAATGCACATAAAATAAAAATAAATTAAAAAAAAAAACTAATCTATTATGGGACATGTACATTTTCATTATTCTTTTGTTTTCCCTTTGGACACAGCTTACCCTAAACTCAAGGCAATCCTCCTGCCTTAGCCTCCAGAGTGCTGGAATTACAGGAATGCACCATGCTCTTGCCCCTTTCCTCCTCTTATGAACGATCTACAATACTAACCTTCTCCTAGATGCTCTCTGTTCACAATGGGATAAACCCTGTGAGATGAAAAAACTAAGTCAAAAATGCATTAACTTTTGGAGGTGACCCAAAACAGGAGACGCAGCCACCTGCTCTGACCAGATGTGTACACAGCAACAAGGCCATCAAGAAGTGTGTCATGGGGCTGGAGAGATGGCTCAGAGGTTAAGGGCACTGGCTGCTCTTCCAGAGGTCCTGAGTTCAATTCCCAGCACCCACATGGTGGCTTATATTCATCTATAATGAGATCTTGTGCCCTGTTCTGGCATTCTAGCAGAACACTATGTATAAATAAATCTTTTTTTTTTTAAAAAAAAAAAGGTATGTCATTTGGAACACAGTGGAGACCACTGCCACCAGCGACATTGCTGTAGTGCTTCGATGGTCACGTGCTTTCCAAATCCTATGCGAAGCTGCATGCATGGTTCCATTCATAGCAAGGTAGTCAGGAATCAAAACTCCTGAAGCCTGGGAGGACTGACCCTCCCCCTCCTGATGTAGATTTGCCACCAAAGCCCATGTAAGGAGCTTGCTTCATAAGAAAGACAAAATGTCTAAGAAAAAAAAATGGAAATTATACTTTTAAGAAATGCATTGAGCCAGACCGTGGTGGTACATACCTTTAGTCCCAGCACTCCAGAGGCAGAGGCAGGCAGATCTGAGTTCGAGACCAACCTGGTCTATAGAGCAAGTTCCAGGACAGCCAGGGTTACACAGAGAAACGCTGTTTCTGAGTGAGAGAGAGAGAGAGAGAGAGAGAGAGAGAGAGAAAAGAAAGGCGTTGAATAAACCAGATGTGGTAGTGAAACCCTATAGTCTCAGCACTGGGGAAGCTGCAATGGGAAGACAGAATTTGAGGCCAGCTTGGGCTACATATCCAGACCCGTCTCAGTAAATAGGAAGAAGACAGGGACAGGGAGGAGGAGAGTGCTCTGCGTTCACTTGTCATGGTTTAGCACTGCAGGGTGTCAGAGGTCATCCGCATGACTCCTCCTTGCAGAGATAACATCAGATCACAAATAGAAGAGATCAAAATTCAAAGAGCACTACCTGGCTAGGTGTGGTGGAGCATAACTTTAACCCCAGTTTGGGAGAGGCAGAGAGGCTAGTGGATCTGTGAGTCTGAGGCCAGCCTGCTCTACGTAGTGACTTCCAAGCCAGCCAATGCTACTAGTGAGACCTTGCCTCAAAAGCAAAACAAGAGTAAACAAACAAAAATTAAAACAAAAGACACTTCTTACTGAGTGTGGTCACTTTAACACTATCGTAAGGCCAGACCGTTGTGAGCTGAGGACTTATCTGTATGTGAACTTCTGATCATTGTCTTTATGATAAGTATAACTGTTTTTAATTGCCTAATCCAGGTTGCCAAACTTCTGTGATCTGCCCCTCCCCACCACAGTGATGGGGATAGAAACGGACTTGTAAATGTTAAACCCATGCTGTATCCCAGAGTCACACCCCCAGCCTAGGAGGTGATTTTGTGATACTTGATGACAGCATCCTACCACACCTGGCACTGAGCAGGTCCTCATTAGCCACTGATCTGTTTCCCCTGCCTTCTGGGTAAATGGTATTACACTAAAATGGGGGGTGGGGGGACTGGTGAGATGGCTTAGTGATAAAAACACTTGACACACAAGACTGATGACTTGAATTTGACCCCAGATCAATGGTGGGAGGAGAGAACTTCCTGAAAGTTATCCTGTGACTGCCATATGCTCACCATGGCAAGTGTGCATGCGCGCACACAGTAAGAAAGATTATGTAGTGATTAAAAGATACCTTACTGGCAGGGCTGGAGAGATGCCTCAGAGGTTAAGAGCTCTGGGCTGCTCTTCCACAGGTTCTGAGTTCAATTCCCAGCACCCACATGGTGGCTCACAACCATCTGGTGCCCTCTTCTGACCTGCAGGCATACATGCAGGCAGAATACTGTATACATAATAAATAAATCTTTAAAAAAAAAAAAAAGCACTTCCTGTCTGGACATGGCGGCACCCGCCTTTAGCACATGCCTCTAATCTCAGCACTCAGGAGGCAGAGGCAAGTAGATCTCTGTGAGTTCAAGGCCAGCCTTGTCTACAGAGCGAGTTCTAGGACAGCCAGGTCTACACAGAGGGATCCTGTCTCAATAAACAAGCAACAAAAAAGCACTTGCTGCTCTTGCAGAGGACTCAGGTTTAGTTCCCAGCATCCACATGTTGGTTGCCAACTGTCCTTGATTCCCTGGAGGGGATCCAACATCCTCTTTTGACCTCCGAGGGCACCAGTTATACATGTGGTGCACATACATACATGCTGGTAAAACACTCATACAAATAAAATAATAAATAAATCTGGGGCTCGAGACACGGCTCAGCAGTTAGGAGCACTGGCTGTTCTTATAGAGGACACAGATTGAGTTCCCAGCACTCATATGGTGATTCACAACCAGCTGTAACTTCAGATCCAGGTAATCCAATACCCTCTTCTGTCCTCCACAGGCACTGGGCATGCAAGTGGTATATAGACATACACACAGGCAAGAAACCAATATAATGATAAAAAATAAAAATAAATCTTTCAGAAAAGTTAAATCAATCTAAACCAATTTTTTAGAAAGATAATGGGGCTGGAGAGGTGGCTTGGCGGTTGTGACCTAAATTTAGTTACCGGGATTTTTTTTTTTCAATGTGTGTGGGTGTTTTGGCTACATGTATGTCTGTGCACCATGTGCGTGCCCTGTCCAAGGAGGCCAAAAGAGGTGCCGGATCCCCTAGAACTGGAGTTACAGAAGGTTGTGAGCCTCCATGTGAGTGCTAGGAATCGAATCCTGGTCTTCTAGAAAGATAGTCAGCTCTTAACCATTGAGTCATCTCTCTAGTACAGTTCCCAGGATACATACGTGTGTGTGTGTGTGTGTGTGTGTGTGTGTGTGTGTGTGTGTGTGCACACATATATTTACATTTGCGGATGTTTTGCTTGCATGCATGTCAGTGCTCCACATGTATGCCAGGTGCCTGGAGAGGCCAGAAGAGGCACTGGATCCCCTGGAACTAGAGTTACTGATGGTTGTGAGCCAACATGCTGGTGGTGGGAACTGAAGCCAGGCTCTCTGCCAGAGCAACATATACTCTTAACCGCTGAGCCATCTCTCCAGGCCTCTCCCTTACCTTTAAAGACAGGGTCTCTCACTGGTCTGGGGCTGTCCGGTAGGCCAGGGTGACTCACCGACAGACCCCAGGGGCGTGCCTGTCTCTTCCGCTGGATCACAAGCACCTGTCTCTGCACTCAGCTTTTAACCTGGGTTCTGAGGCCTGAATTCCTTCTCCTGCTTGAAGATAAGCAGTTTACAGACTGAGCTGTCTCCCTATCCTTCCCTATAGGTACCCTTGTGAAGAAGTTTAATATCCCTACGTAATAAGTGAGGATATGGGGATTAGACTGTAAACTCCAGAAAGGCTCATGATTGGGCCAAGGTAACGATCTGAAGAAACCAGGATTTGAAACCAGGCAGATCTGCTCCGGGAGCCTGTGGTTCTCCTTATTATATCTGAGAAGCAAATGAAAGCTTCTCGAGCAAAAGAACTAATGAGACGGGGAGACTGGGAAAGCTGGGGAGGACAAGCTGTGCTGGATCCCTCCTCAGAGGTGGCTGCCCACTGCAGGACACCGTGGTTGCTCCTGTGGTTTCACTGGCTGCCGGCAGGCCCACTTCACAGCTCGGCCTAGCTGCTCAGAGGCCACCCGAGTCAGAGGAAAGTGAGCACTCGGAGAGGAGCAATAGGTTGATATGGAAATCTGAGGGGAGGACTTTGAGTCTGGGAGATACCCCAGGGCTCCCTATTCCCCATTAGAGCAGGTACAGAATATTTTAACTAAAGGCAATATCTACGGAACCTGAAACATGTATCCACACAGAATCATCAAGGTCCTGACCTGCGTGTGCTGAAAGTCCTGGTCTTTGAGGCACTAGGTAAAATGACCAGCTCCACAGTCTGAGGTGACCCCAGTTCTCTACTTCTTTCCAGCCCTTCAGCGGGTGTGAGCTGAGAGGTTCTCAGCCTAGAGCACTCTGTATTCCCCCTCACACCCCCCAAACACTCCTGCTCCCTTACTCACATCTTGGAGAGTCACAGACATGACTCACACCTGGTTGGCAAAAGCAGAGGCTTCAGAGCAAGAGGGTCCTGGAGGACTAAAGTCTGGCTTGGGCCCTTAGATGGGGCTTTGGTCTCCTCAGCCTCCAGCAGCGTCTGAAATAAACTCCAGCCACTTCTGCTTGCAAGTTTTGGTTCCACTTTCGTTTCTGTGAATTCCCACCTCCGAGTACACAGCCCCACCCTTGGGAGGAGCCTTCCGAGTCTTCAGCTGCAAAGACCCAATGTGAAGTGTGTCAGGTGTGTGCTCCAGGGGATTGCAATGGGAGTGGGTACTGGCCCCAACTCATCATTCCAGGCAGTTGATTCTAGCATGTATAGGATTTCCCTCTACCCCTTTCTTAGATTTTAGGACAGACGATTAGCATGTAGCTCTAGCTGGCTTTGAACTCTATTGCGTTTGCTCCCAAAATGCTGAGATTAAAGACATGTGAAAGCATATCCAGCAGATTTTATTTTTAAAATTACATTTATTGTGTGGGCAGGGGTGTCCACATACCATTGTGAAGGCATGGGGTTAACGACTTTTATGGGTTGGTATCCTGTGGGTTCCAGGTAATTATTCATTAGACTTGGCAGCAGCAGCAGCCCTTACCCACCATGCCATCTTGCCCTTTTTCAGACAGGGTTTCATTGTGCAGTCCTGGAACTCACTCTGTAGACCAGGATGGCCTCCAACTCAGAGATCCCCCTGCCTCTGCCTCACCCTCCCTTAGTCTTTTTTGTTGTTTTCGAGACAGAGTTTCTCTGTGTAGTTTTGGTACCTGTTCTGGAACTCTCTCTGTAGACCAGGCTGGCCTCGAACTCAGAGATCCACCTGCCTCTGCCTCCTTAGTGCTGAGATTGAAGGCGTGCACCACTACCGCCCTCCCTTAATTCTTAAGAATTGTGTGTGATGTAGGTGCTGGGAAACAAACTCTGGTCCTGAGAGAACCTTGTTCCTAACTGCTGGGCCATCCATCTAGTGACAGGATTTCTCTGGGGAACACTGCCAGGGCTGTACTAGTCAACACTGATTTGCACTGAGACACCACCAGCTTTTTCTATTAGCACACAGCCACTGGTTCCCCTCACAAACCTTTTTTTAAATGGTGTCACTATGTAACATTGGCTGGCCTCAACCTGAGACTCACCTGCCTCTAGTGCTATATGCCTGCATTTCTTTATGTTTGGGAGGTTTTGTTTTGTTTTTTTGAGATAGGGTTTCTCTGTGTCGGCCTGGCTGTCCTCTGCCTCCCAAGTGCCCCTCATGGGGGCACTTCTTTAAAACAGGATCTCACTGTTGATCTGGCTGCCCCACAACTATGTAGACCAGGATGGTGTTAAACTCAAGAGATCACCCTGTTGGGATTAAAGGCACTAGCTACTATGTCTGCATTTTAAATCTCTGCAGCATAGTCAAGCACCTGGGTTATCAGAATGAGGTTCCTAACAGGAGGCAGGCTGAGCTTCACCCTTCCCTGCTTTGACAGAACACAGTTCTACACCTCATTAAAATGTCAGGAGCAGCTCTGGGGCAAAGGCTCAGGGTCACTTTCTTCAAGGAGGTTTTCAATCCATCAGCTGGTCACCTAGTTCAAGACTCACAAAGCACACCGGCTTCATTTCACAGCCCCCTTTCCAATGTCTCTTATCCCATGGTCTCCTTTTTCAATACACATGCAGCAGGCAGACACAAGTTTTTTTTTTTTAATGATGGGAACAAAAATATATCTAAAAGCGAAGCTTCTGGAAAAACCATTTGTTCTTCCCTGTCTTGTATCTAGAAAGGAAAAAACAGAAAGATACATGAAAAATGGAACAGAAAAACAAATTGTTTTATGGGAAGTAGTAAAAGTGTATTCAACAAAAAGATAGGACCTACTCACCTTTCCTCAAACTTGACCTTGGCCTCCCGCCTGGCCTTGCGTTTCAGGGCTGGGTCTCTAAAGACATCCTTGTTGACAACTGTTTTGTCCAAGGGGATGTCCACAGAGTACCTGGGGCAACGGAGCAGAGGCAGGATTAGCTAGGGACTTCATTTGGCCTAGTCCTCGAGGGCCCCAGGGGCGGTTCGATCCAATCCCTCAGTGAAATAGTGAGGAACACCCACTAAAGCTGGACACCTTCATGCAATTTCTTGGAACTTATCATTTTAATATCCATTTCCACGGTCCTAAACACTGAGACATCTCACTTTAATTTCCAGAACTCCTTTTTAAGAGTGAGACATATCACACAAGACCGCTCCACAACGATTCTTGAAGACAGTTACAGTTCAGGGCCCTCGATTCCTGTCGTTCCTTTACTAACCCTGGACTGAGACAGCGTGTGCTGGAAGACTGTGGCACTCAAGGCCTGGCAGTTAAAAGTAATGAAAACTGGCTTCTCACCCAACACTCTCACTGTATAGCTCTGGCTGGCCCACAGCTCCCCTCGCTTCAGCTAGGATCATAACTACACCACCACCTCGGCTGTAAAGAAACTGTTTCTGGGGGCGTGCCTGTAGAGATGGTTCAGTGGTCAAGAGCACTGATTGCACTTCCAGAGAACCTAGGCTCAATTCTCAGCACCCACTCGATACACAGACAAATCATCCATGATGATTTATGACTAAGTCACCTCTCCAGTGTGGTCTAAACCAAACACTTGTGCTGCCCTCTCCTTCTACCTCTGTATAAACTCCAGGGATTAAACTCTGGTCACCAACAGCAGGCACGAAGCTGTCTCACAGCCCAAAGGAAATCATCTTGTAGAACAGTGAGAGAAGGCAGACTAGACCTGTCTTGTCTGCCCTCGATGGAAGACAAATGCAGCCATCTTTACTAAATAAAAATTTCAATCCTACTTAGATGGAGAACAGAAAATGAAAGGAGGAGCTGAGACAGGATGCTCTCACACAGAACACAGGGTCCCAGATTTGAGGGTACCCCCTTGCTAAAAAACAAAAAACCATCCCAGCACTCGGGAGACACAGACAGGTGGATCTGAGTTCAAGGCCAGCCTGGCTTACAGAGTGAGTTCCAGGACAGCCAAGGCCACACAAACAAACCCTGTCTTGAAAAGCCCCCACCCCCACGATAGAAGGGCTCCAGGAGACAAAGAGAGGCATTCTCCAAGATGGAGGAGAGTCAAATCAAGTTACGCCCCTCCCCCAATGGTACTGAGGCAGAACCCAGGGTCGTGCATCTGGTAGGCAGTGCATGGATGTACAAGCTTAGCATTCCCAGGACTGAGGGAAGAGGATCATCCACAGGCAGGAGAGGGCAAAGAGGACGTGAATGAAAGATGGCCTTTTCTTGTACCTCAGTAGCCACAAGGCCGTCTCTTCCTCAGGAGAGGAAATGAAAATCCACACTTTTCCATTTTTTGGAAAGCTCACCTCGTGGGCATGAGGTGATTGTAGTTATAAACTTTCACAAAGGACTTGATCTTTGACCTCTTGGCGATTTTCTTCTTGCCCATGGCAGCTGTCACTTTTCGGGGATAGCGGTCAATTCCAGCCACCAGGGCATGGCTGTAAGGGCGGTCTGAGGTGCCATCGTCAATGTTCTAAGTGAGGAAGAAAAACACACACACAATGATGTTACAGCTTGGACCCTATCAGTAAAACTGTATGTTCATTAAACACACACCTCCACACTACCGTAGAGGTTAACCACAACCACTTAATGCTAAGCTCACACAAAGAGCCAACAGGACAGTAACTGTGTGTTAGCCAGAGTTTATTCACATCACAAGACTTTGCAAAAGCATTTGAGACACAGGTTTAAAAGCTGCATCGAAACACTCATGCTGGGCTTGGTGGCACACGCTTTTAATGCCAGCAGTTCAAGTCCGGCCTGGGACAGAGCTACACTGGAAAACCCTGTCTCGGAAAAACAAACAAAAAAGTAGACACTCAGAGTAACGCTAGGTGCCATCTATCTCGTCTTTCAACTTGTCCACGAGGCTAAGGTTTGAGTTGAGACTCCAAAGCTGGCAGCTTGGCCCCAGAGACCAGTCTCCAGACAAATGGCAGGAGCAGCAGCCAGTGTCCTCAACAGCAAAAGTCTAAAATACCCAGGGGATGGTCTAAGTAAAAGCAGTCTCTCCCATTCCACAGATCTCAGCTGCAGCAGGGATTACTTTGACGTTACGTAAGTTAACCCCTCTAAACTTTAGTAATTAAAGTAGGTTACTGCAGGAATTACACACCACACCTGTAAGAGGTTCAATACACGACGGCTACTATTAAATAATACTTAAGGCCTCCTCGGTGGAGATCCCAGTACGTGCCAGGATCCCAATTCAACTCCCACTTGCTTCAGACCTATCATGCATTTACCGCCCGCGGCTTGGCCGCCGGGTCCCGGGGCTACTGCTAGGAACGGAGATCTTACGTTCCGATCCCGCCCGTCCTACAGTGCCGCCCAACTAACTCCCCGCCTGCAAGCCAAGCGCCCTGGCGGCCTGGTACCTTCACGATGACGGCTTTGCGTCCGGAGTAGCGTCCGGCCAGGACCAGCACCACTTTCCCGGGTTTCATGAACTTGCCCATTTCTGCAGAGAACAAAGACAAGGAACCGCTCGGAAACTTGTAAAGCGCAAGGCTCCGGGGCCGACTTTTCTAGATGCGAGCCCGGGTCCGAAGGCCCGCGACTTTAGGTCGCTCGCTGCCGACAGGGCCACGCCGCCCGCAGGTTCTGCTCGAGCGACGCGGCTCGCCACGGAGCCGCCAGAGGCTCCGCGTCGGACCGCGCGCGGCCACCCGACCCCGGGGTCGCGATGGCGGCGGATTACCAAGACCCTCTCCAGGCCTCTACTCACCGACAGCAAGGAGCCGGTACCCAGCAGAAAGGAAAGAAGGGCACTTCCGCTAACCTTTCACCCTGCGGAGCGGTGGCTTCACTTCCGGTCCCGCCTTCCAGGCTCCGCTACGCCTCTCTCGGTTGGTGGTCAAAGCAGCGGGCGGAAGGAGCTGGTTGAGGTCGCGTCGGGCGGCGCGTTTGTTTGAATCGAGCTTTATTAGCAGCACTGGCAGCAGACAGGAACAGAGTCCCGTCTCCGGCGTACGGAGGGAGGGGCAAAGAGGGCGCGTGGGTCTGCGCGCTCGGCCCCGTCGCTTCCTTCGTTGTAGTCCCCTGCTCTGCCACTAGGAGGGGGACGCAGTCTGAAACTTACTCTTCTGCCATGGAAGCAGGAGCCAGGTTTCTGCCGGGGCGCAAACCTGTAATCCCAACATTCGGGGGCTGAGACAGGATTTCCAGTTCCCGTGTAACCCAGGTTACATACAGAGACCCTGTCTCCATTAAATAAATAAAAAAGTATGTCATAGGGAACAAAGTGGCCTGTGCACTGTTGGCTGAACAACAGGGAAGATCAAATGTTCTTATCTCTAGGGTTCAGCCCAATGATGTCAACTATTGTCGACTAGACTAAGCACGTGGCACTCCTCGCTTTTTAAAAAATAATATATATAAAGATTTTTTTTTAAAAAAATATTTTATTGGGGGCCAGATTTTGAGACAAGGTTTCTCTGTGTAACAGCTCTGGTTGTCCTGGAACTTTTCTTTGTGACCAGGCTGGCCTCTCTCTGCATCCCAAAGGTTGGGATTAAAGGTGTATGCCAGCACCGCCCGGCATATTTTTACTTTTTATTTATGAGTATTTTACCTGCATGTATGTAGGTGCCTAGTGTCCAAGGAGGTCAGAGGAAGGTGTTGGAATCCCTGGAACTGGTGTAACAGATGACTGCATGTCACTATGTGGGTGCTGGGAATCGAACCTGGGTCCTCTCCAGGTCCTCTGCAAGAGCAGAAAGTGCTCTAAAACACTGGGCCATCTTTCCAGCCCCTTATTTATGATTATTACTTCAAAATTTTCAATTTATTCTAAAGGATTTATTTTTAATTATGTGTATGTATCAACATGTGTGTGTATGTGTGAGTATGGTGCCCACAGAAGCCACAAGCATTGGATCTCCTGGAGATTACAGGCTGTTATGAACCATTTGATGTGGGTGTTAGGAACAGAACTCACGTCTTCTGTGAGAGCAGTAAGTGCTCTTCACCTCTAAGGCATCTCACCAGCACTTCTGAGACAGGGCTTACTCTGTAGCTAAGACTGGAACTCACATCATAGCTTAGGCTGGAATCCAACTTTCTCAGACTCCTGAGTCCTGGAATTACATTTGTGAACCACCACACCCAGCTTATATTTACATTTCTATATCCAATTAAATTGTGTATATATGTATACACACACATATACATACACACACACACACACACACACACACACACACCTGTGACTATAGGCATGGGCCACAATGCCTGGCTGCAATTAAAATATTTTCTGAAGCAGGAGGAAACATTTCCTAAGGTTATGAACAGACCAGGCTCCCCCACCTGCCAATTTTAAAAAAACATTTTTAAACGTTTTATTTTTTATTTTACGTGTGTGGTGTTTTGTCTAAATGTATACCTGTGCACCTCATTCATGTCTGCATACAAGCCAGAAGAGGGCATCAGATTCCCTGGAACTTCAGTTAACTATGGTTGTTTGCCACCAACCACATGGGTGCTAGGAATTGAACCCAAGTATCTCTGGAAGAGCAGCCAATGCTCTTAATCACTGAGATGTCTCTCCAGCCTCCAGTCACCAGTTCTGAATGGAATCTTCATTAGGGAGCAGTTGACCACTTGGCTTGATGGCTGCACATCAGCTTCCCTACACATCTTGCCTTCAGTGATGTTCTGTGTGACCCTGCAGAGTCATACTGAGATCTCCTGAAGGCTGCCTCCTGACCGACAAGTGTCACTCAGGTTCACTGCACTGGAGAACACAGAGTACGAAGCCCTGCAGAGACCCTGTGTACCTGCCTGGCAAGAATGAATGGAAAAGGAGATATGTTGGAAAACTATTATGTGGCTCAACAGAAAGACCTGTGTCCAGAGTGGTGGCCCAGGACTATAATTCCAACTCACAGGAGGCAGTAAACAGAGAATCAGAAGTTCAAGGTCATCCTCAGTTACATAATGAGTTCAAGACCAGCATGCGCTATAGGAGACTCTGCCTTGGGGGCACAGGCCTGTTAGAGGCAGAGGCAGGAGTATCTCTGAGTTCGAGATCAGCCTGGTCCACATATCGAGGTCTAGGACAACATAGAGAAACCCTGTCTCAAAACACCAAAACAAACACAAGAACAAAAATCCAAGAGGCTGGAGTGCTACAGTTAAGAGCACTCACTCTCTTCCAAAGGACCTGAGAGCACACCTTTAATTATAGTACTCAGGCAGAGGCAGGTAGATCTCGGAGTTCAAGGCCAGTTTGGTTTACACAGTGAGATCTTGTTTTAAAAGGAAACCACTTGTTTGGAGGGGATGGTAGCACACACTTGTTTTTTTGTTGTTGTTGTTGTTGTTTCTTAAGGGTTTTTTGTTTTTTTGAAAGGACTTACTTATGTATGAGTGCTCTATCTGCATGTACACCTTTATGCCAGAAGAGGGCATCAGATCCCACTAGAGATGGTTGTGACCCACCATTGACCACTGGGCCATCTCCCCAGCCCAGGTAGCACACACTTGTAATCTCAGCACTAGGGGTTGGAGGCAGGAGGATCAATCAGTTCATGTTCATGCTCAGCTACATAGCATGTTTGAGGCTAGCCTTGGCTACATGGGAGCCTCCCCCCCAAAAAAAACAAAACAAAACAAAAAAATGTAGAATAGAAATCTTTTTTTTTTTTTTTTTGGTTTTTCGAGACAGGGTTTCTCTGTGTAGTGTTGCGCCTTTCCTGGAACTCACTCTGTAGTCCAGGCTGGCCTCGAACTCACAGAGATCCGCCTGGCTCTGCCTCCCGAGTGCTGGGATTAAAGGCGTGCGCCACCACCGCCCGGCGAAATCTGTTTTTTTATGTTTGTTTGCTTTTGAGTTAGAGTCTCTCTGTGTAGCCTTAGCTGACCTAGAACTCACTCTGTAGACCAGGCTGGCCTTGAACTCTGAGATCTATCTACCTGACTCAATCTCCCTAGTCCTGGAATTAAAGGCATGTGCTGCCAGGTCCGGCCACTTTAGAAATCTTTAAGTATGCTATGCAGTACAGATCACCTTCCTTTCATTATGTGTGTGTGTGTATTATACACCCATGCTTTGCTGTTGTTGTTTCCAGACAGGGTCTCTCTATGTGGTCCTGGCTGTCCTGGAACTTGCTATGTAGAGCAGGCTGGTTGTTTTGTTTTTTGTTGTTGTTTTGAGACAGGCTTCATTACATAGTCTTGGCTGGCCTAGAGGCCACTATGTAGACAAAATAGCCTAAAACTTGTGGCAATTCTCCTGCCTCTGCCTCCTCAGTGCTGGGACTCCATGCCTGGCCCTCCCCCTTTTTCTGGTGTTGTTTTTGAAACTTTACTGGCTCCAGAGAGTAGCACCTAGCCCTAATCCATTCTTTGTTTAACCACACCTTTTGTTTCTGATACCTTTTGTTTCTCTTACCCTCCTATGTGAATCTTGTCTGAGAGTCTCCCAAGGATCAAAGGCCAATGCAAAAACTTGGTTCAGAGGTTGGGTGGAGGCATACTCCTTTAATCCCAGCACTCAGGAGGCAGAGCCAGGCGGATCTCTGTGAGTTCTCTGTGAGTTCGAGGCCAGCCTGGGCTACAGAGTGAGTTCCAGGACAGGCTCCAAAGCTACACAGAGAAACCTTGTCTCGAAAAACAACAACAAAAAAAACTTGGTTCAGGAAACCCGGAAAACCTGGTACCTGAGAAATCTAGGAATTTGCACTTGGCATTGTATCTTTGGGAGCTCCTTTCAGGTTTCTTTGATGATACAGAAATTAACTGGCTAAACTGTAAATAGAGAGAAAATAAAAATGCCCTGGGTGAAAGGAAAGTGCTTCAGTCCTTTGAGGCTGGACCCCCTGCAGCCATGTAAGGCTAGGTTAATTCTTAAGATGCCTCTGAGTCTTCTTTCCACAGATCTGCATGAACCCACACACCCGGACCATGACAATCCGTGACATCCTCCCGTACAGAGTGCTGGGTTTATAGGCTGTGCCACCATGCCCAGGCCCACAGCTCTTTTTCATTTCATTCTTGAATATCCTCAGACTTGACTGTCACTCCTCTCCTCCCTTACTGGGCTGTATCCCAAGCCAGGGACAGATTTATATTGTTATAGGCAGCTCCTTTCCTAGCAGAGATGACTGCTGGGATGCTGGGGGTCTTTTGTGGGTACTCATCTTTAGGCTTCATGAAGAACTTGGCAGAGCAATGCCTGTCTGCCTCACTGCCTTCAGCCTAGTACTTTGGCGGCTGGAATTTCTGGCAAGTATTTAGAAAATACTTAGTGCTCTCCAAAGTAAAGGTAAAATTAAAGGATGGAAACAGGAGAGATAAATGACTTAAACACAGAATGGCACAATGAAATAACATGATGGAGCATAAAGATGAGAAGCTTTGGCTTTAGGCGAGTTCAAATCTCAAGTCTTTGAGCACCCTTCAGTTCAGGTTCCACAGCTGTAAAGGGAAGAGGTAATAATGTCACGCCTTGAAGGAGGGAGAGGGAAATTAGGACGGCACAGCAGAAAAATACTTTCTATTCCACTACTACAAAGTCTTCATGCAAATAAGGATTACAAAACAAGACAGAACCCGAAAGGTGGGTGGGTGCTTGCCACACAAGCCTGCTGATGAGTTCAGCTCCTGGAACCCACGTAATGACAGAAGAACTCCACAGAAGAGCCACGGAACTCCTGTCCCCACACACAAACACCATACACGTAAGTTAAAAGACAGTATGGGGCAAATCTATATACTAACACCAGTTCCCACTCACCCTAAACACTGGCGGCAGCCTGAGGAGTGGACTTAACAGTACCAGTTTCCAGAAGCTGCATCCGTGGCCACATCCACTGCAGTGTTGCTGCTATAGTCTAGGCAAGATGAACCACTACTGCCACCAAATCCTGCCTTGATCCAGGGCAGAGGAAGTAGGCAGTTCCTAAAGAAATACTGACCTAGGTTACATGGGCTCATAGGACTAGAGAGACTCAGAAAGCAGAGGAGAGTTATGGGCTTTGCAGAGAAGCTACACAAAATACTGTAATTTTATTATCAATCACAGATATATCATTATTTATGATATTTTACAATTATCTTTTTTTTTTTTTCCTGGGGTGGTGCTGAGGACAAAAACACGGTCTCAGACATGCCAGCAAGCACTCTATCACTGAGCTGCATCCCACACCCCAGAACACTACTGTGTTTCATAGGGAAACTGCACATATTGACATTAAATGTCAATGATGCATCTTAAGTGACAAGTCACTGAAATAAGTTAAAGTGTACTTCACAGGAACAAAATGCAAGTGGCAGTTTAGTTCACCCATCCTTGGTGAGTCCTGGAGCATGTGCTCACTGCATGCTGAAAGACAAGGGAATTATTCTCACAGATGTGCAGGTGTGTGGTCTGTATGGAGATCGTTAGTAATTCCTGGCCCTGCTGCTGACCACACTGCAAGATCAAACCTTCCCCGTCAGCCATTCTTCAGGCAAGTGGTGCCAGTGGGTCACAACCCACGGGGCTGTACCACTCATCACGGTGTGCACTGTGTGTTCTTGAGTGCAAGGCCAAAGACTGTCAGCCCTGAGAGGTTCACAGAGGAAAGTGACTTTCTAGAGATGGTACCTAATATCAGTTGTCATTCTTTGAGACCAGGACAGCACTGTCTGTGTGGGCGGATTACCTCAGCAGGGAGATTGCTGTTCTCATCTTAGACTCACACTGAAACTCCCTTAAAGGAAGGGGAATCAGAATTCCTACCTGGAATTACAGTTCTGGCCCTCGGGCTCTCACAGCTGCTTCTGATAAAGAAGAATGCTCCAACCTAACTAGCAGGAGCCTGAAGCTCAGAGTCTTCCAGAACTCCCTCATACAGTGACTTGCTGCCATGAAGAGAATGGTGGGCACAACCTCAATTTTCTGAAAATCAGACATGCCACAGTGAGTTGGGCATTAGCTATGTGTGGTAACTGATTTTGTTAACACAGGTTCCTACCCAGTGGGACTGGTACACTGTGGTGGGCCAGGGATGGCTCTTTCTGCTTTTAACGTCCTCAGCCCTGCCTGTGTGCATGCTTTTCATGCACCACGCCACTGAGCGACACCTCTAGTCCTGACACTGGTTTTTAGATTATATTATTAAGCCGGGCGGTGGTGGTGCACTCCTTTAATCCCACCACTCGGGAGGCAGAGCCAGGTGGATCTCTGTGAGTTCGAGGCCAGCCTGGGCTACCAAGTGAGTTCCAGAAGAGGCGCAAAGCTACACAGAGAAACCCTGTCTCGAAAAACCAAAAAAAAAAAAAAAAAAAAAAAAAAAATTATATTATTAAATTTACTTGTGTTTGGGCACCTGAGGGATGCACAGGTGCCACAGTTCGTGTGTGGAGGTAAGAGAACAATCTGTGAGAGGTCTGTTCTCTCCCTGTACCAGGTGGGTCCCCAGGATCACTCAGATTGCCAGGTGTGATAGCAAGCATCTTTACCTGGTGAAGCATCTCTCAAGGCCCTGACACTATTTTTGATGAGAGTCTCTGCACATCTTCTTAATCTGCTAAGAGAAAACAGGCTTTGCCTCCATTAGGGTGACCACCTGAAAAGGGTTTGAGAAAATGTCTCTAACCCTTGCTCTGACTCCCTGCCTGTACTCTGGAACTCTAGGACAGCTATCTCTTCAGAGCAAGGTGTGTGTGTGGGGGGCGGGTGCTAAGGTCAGGCATTCTCATCAAAAGGCATCTTTGATGTTCTTGAGCTGGCGCACGGCCAAGTCTACAGGAAGACTGAACTTGAGGCTGCTGAGGCGGCTGAGCAAGTTGAGGGCACTCTCGAAACCTGTGTGGGCCATGTAGCTCCAGGGCTGGTAATGGGGCTCGATGAGGGACCCTGACTTGCAGATGAGGTTTACCCAGGACACCAGGCGCTGCTCATTCAGTGCTATGCACACCAACGCCTTCAGCTCTGAGTCAGCACTGCGCTTGAAAGGGTCATGCTCCGTCAGCACCAGGTGGATGGCTGTCAGAAGACTTTGTTTGGGAGTCACAGCGGTGCCACCCGTTACAGGAAGGGCAAAGGACTGTGAGAGCTTCCGGGCTGGGGATTCCACATACGCACGGCCATTCTTGGCATGATAGTACTTTACAAAGAGCTCCCAGGGGTGCATGGTCTCAGGGGCCGAGGAGAAGGCTGGCAACAAACAAGCAATGGGGGCCATGACAAGGCTCATCCCAGAGGAGGAGGCATACAGTCCATGGGCCAGCAGGTCCCTCACAGCCACTGTCAGCTCCTTCCGCACAGCCATGGTCAGCTCATCCTTGCCTCCTAGAGAGAGTTCCTGGAGGTTGGCCGAGGTGATGACATGGTCATGTGGCTGATGTCTCAAGGCTAGCTGCTTCACTCTGTCTACTGACACTTCCAGCCTTTTCAGTAAGGGGGAGTAGTCTCTATCTGCCTGGCCCCGCTGCCACAAGGTTTGAGGGATCTGGCCTGTGGCACAGCCCAACTGGCTAACAGCAAAGATCTGGAGCACAGCCAGCGCTCGACGCATCAGGTGTAGCCCCGTTTCCCGGACTCTCTTCACATCTTCTGCCTTTGCTGCTTAGAAAGAGTGATTCATTAGACAGAGGTCAAAATGACATAAAACATTCAACAGGTCACAAGCTGGGAGCACGTCTTGCCTCTAAGCCACAGTGCAGGTACCACATGAAGGCAAGGATGCAGCTGGCTGATGACTCTAACTGAGGTACTGTGCAGATGCCCATTTCTAGTATACAATTCAGGCTGCTAGTTTTTCACACAGGATCTTGCTATCATGGCAATCATCCCCTCTCAGCCTCCCTATTTCTGGGATTTCAGGGAGGCACCATGTCTAGGCTGGCCTCAAACTCCATCTTCCTGCCTCAGTTTCTCAAGTGGTAAGATTATAGGTATATGCCGCCACGCTCAGCTTCTTTTTTTTTTTTTTGGTTTTTTTGAGACAGGGTTTCTGTGTGTCATGTTGGTGCCTGTCCTGGATCTCACTCTGTAGACCAGGCTGGCCTTGAACTCAGAGTGATCCGCCTGGCTCTGCCTCCCAGTGCTGGGATTAAAGGCGTGCACCACCACCGCCCGGCAGGCTCAGCTTCTTTTTGTTTTGTTTTTTGGTACTCAGGATTAAACCCAGGGCTCTAGGACTCCTCCACACTATACTAGCCATGTCTCCCAGATCTGGTGGTTTTTCAAAATTGTACATCATCATCACAATCCATATTAGAATGGTATCATGCCCCAAAGACACCTTGCACTATTATCATTTCTTCTCCCCCATTTCTTCCTAAGACCCAAGCAGTAACTCATTAATCGTGTGTGGTGTGTGTGTGGTTCAATAAGGTCACAGGACAACCAGAAGGAGTCAGTACTCTCCTTCTACCATGCAGGGCTGGGGATCCAACACAGGTTGATACCTGCAGAGCCAACCTCACTGTCCTTTCTTTTAGCCAGAGAGAATCTCAATACGTAGTCCAGACTGGCCTTGAACTTTCAATCCTCCTGCTTCCACTTCCCACTTTCTGCTTTTGTGGCCTGGGCACTCTAGGAGCTGTACTTACTTTTGCTGGCTCCTGGGGGCAGTGTGCTGCTGCCTGTTCTGGTGGAGCCGTTTCCTGTCTTCCCGCTGGCCTTGCACTCACAGTGTCCACTTGTCTGCAAGGGGCTTCCCACTTCATCTATCATCAGAAGGCACAAAACCAAGACATTATTTATCCCCTTCACAGCAGAGTTTTAAAGGGAAAAGGAATAGTTGATAGCGTCTACTGTGTGCCCAGAGTTTTATAAATTATTGTGTTCCGCTGGGTGAAAGGTGCCTGGTACAGCACAGTTGGCTCAGTAAATATTTGCTTAGCAAATGAAGAATGAATCATCCCCAGTGAAGAGTGTAAGACTAAGAGGGAGGAATCTGCTCAAGGAGGTGAGGCCAGCAGTGGCCTGAAAGACAGGCGCTAGATAATGTTCTTTCCCAATCTACTGTGGCATACATAAGAGGTCTCATTATGTAGGGTAGCCTGGAACTCACTCTATGTGACAGGCTGGCCTATAACTCAGAGATCTGCCAGCCCCTGCCTCTCTGCATTTGAGGGCTAAAGGCATGGAACACCACACCCATTTCAAATCTCTTAAATTCTCTTAAATACAGTGAGAACTGGCCCCTTTAGATGAGTTCTCAGACCACAGAGAACACCACACTGAATACGTTTCCTTTTCCCAGATGCTCCTCTGACCTTGGATGAAGCTGATGAACATCTCCAGATCTCGGATCTGGGTTTTCAGTTGCTCAACCAACTGTTCTTTCACCCGAGCTGGGTTGACAATCTGAGCCACTGCTGCATCCACACGCTGACGAAGCTCCTCGGTTGACAGGGAACTGATGTCCTCATTCAGATTCATGTCCAGTTTCTTTATTAACTCATCAATGATCACCTATCAAGAACACAGCAGTGAGTATACGCTTTGCAGTTCTCAAGGAAGGCTGGGGAGGAGACTCTTAGAGAGGCTTCTATGCTCGAACACAATAAAAACTGCAGCATCCTCTGACTTCAGGAGAAAATGATGCAGCTGCTGATTAAGATGAGTACAGGGCCCAAGAGATGGCTCAGAGATAAAAGCACTTGTTATACCAGCCTAGTGACCGGAGTTAGATCCTCAGAACCCACACAGTGGTGGAGGGAGAGATGTATGCTATGGCACGTGTGCACCCACACTTCTATAGTAATTTAAAAAGGATGAGGGGGGCGTTGGTGGCCTATATAGCAAGTTAGAGGCCAGCCTCAGCTATATGAGAACTGTCTCAAAAAACAAACAAGCTGGGCAGTGGTGGCACACACCTTTAATCCCAGCACTCAGGAGGCAGAGGCAGGCAGATCTCTGTGAGTTCGAGGCCAACTTGGTCTACAGAGTGAGTTAAATGACAGCCAGTCTACAAAGAGAAACCCTGTCTTGAAAAACCAAACAAACAAACAACAAACCAAACCAAAACAAACAAACAAACAAAACAAAATGAAAGTGTTATGAATTAATCCTTTTGTTACACTATGAAAATGTGTCTTTGCCAAGGTATCTTCTGATTGGTTTAATAAAAGAGCTGACTGGCCAGTAGCTAGGCAGGAGGTATAGGCAGGACAGTGAGACAGAAGATGCTGGGAGGAAGAAGGGTGGAGTCTCAAGAATCAGGGGGAGTTTTGAGCCAGACTCGAAGAAGCAACATGGTAAGTTCATAGATGAGGTAAACAAGCCTTGGGGCAGCACATAGATTAATAGGAATGGGTTAATTTAAATTGTAAGAGCTGGCTGGAGACAGGCCTAAGCTATCAGTCAATTACTTATTCATAATTAATAAGTCTCTGAGTGGTTATTTGGGAAGTGGCTGCTAGGACACAGAGAAACTCCGCCTACACAAAAGGACACACAGTTCCTTTCAATCAGAAATGGTACCTCTCATGAACTGTGAACTTACCAGGCCAGTCAACTTTCACCCATTAGAACAGGATGAATGATCCAAAGTGGCTAAAGATCCAGTAGCCTCATATTTGGGCTGGAGAGATGGGTCAGCAGTTAAGAGTACTGGCACTCTTCCAGAGGAGCAGGGTGGGGTTCCCAGCACCCACATTGCAACTCACAACCTCTGCAACTCCACTTCAGAGGGTCTGCCACCTTCTTCTGGCTTCCACAGGCACTTCATGTACATGGTACAAAGTTGTATATGCAGGCAAAACACTCATATACATAAAATAAAAATAAATAAAGTCCCCCAAGCCTCATATTTACTTTCTCTAAAGGCTTCCAGGTGAATATATTGCTAATCCTTTTTATTGATAAAAACAAATGATAAAGGAACTTTGGAAAGAAGAGAACAAGAAAGAGAGACTGGCTCCAGGTCCAGGAAATAGTCAACTTTCCCTCTGCTTTGGACCCAGGGTTCTTGGTAAGGCCATGGGAGAAGTGCTCTGTGGGAGCCTAGGTTGGAATACTGCCAGCAGGGATATATTAACCATCAGAAATGCTGGAGTCGCCTCTGAGGTCTGCTCACCCGCTGTCTTTCCAAGACCACAGACTGCGGCAGGGAGTCATAATTGCCCTCCTGATAGGCGAAGGTTTCCAGGTCATCAAGCTGGGTCTTGAGCTGCAGAATCAGTTCTTTCTGCTTCTCCCTCTGGGTTTCCAGACGCTCTCGTTTTTCCTGCTCACTCTAGGAAGAGAAAAACACTTGGGTCTATTTCACAGAAGAGAGAAGCCAAAGGCACTTCAAGAGCTCAGGCCAATAATGACCAGGAAAATATATAACACTTCCAACTGATTCAATGAGACAATTGACAAGGCAGGTTCAACAGGAAGAATATACTTCACCAGGGCAATGTGCAGCCCCGGCTACCCTGGAACTCACTCTGTAGACCAGGCTCAGAGATCCACCTGCCTCTGCTTCTTGAGTGCTGGGATTAAAGGCATTTGCCACTATAGCCCTACACGTGTGTTTTCTTTAAGAAGTGATCATTCCTTCATTGGAAACAGGATATTAACACAAAGAAGCCTTTTGTTAATAGACTTGTTGTTTTTCAAAGGTCTAGTCAGGAGAGAGAAAACTTAGGTAAGATGGCCTCCTGGAGTTAAAGGTGTCATCTTCATGGCCAGTCAACACAGCCTAACTCCTCACTACTCTGTGCAAACCGATTTTGCAACAGTCTGGGGGAATGAACCTGGTATGGTAGCTTGGATCAGAAGTTCGAGTCCAGCATGAGCTAGATAGCTAGTTTGAAGCTAGGCTGTGCTACATGAGACCCCATCTCACAAAGCAAGGCCCGAGGGTCTGAGTATAGAGAAAGGCTTTATATATATAGAAATCAACCAGTTTTCTGAAGTTTCAAAGCTACTTGGAAAGGTTATAGCTATTTCTGTAAAAGGGGGAACAATGGAATATAAGTACCTAAGGCACAGAAATATATAGAAGCCAAGTCGCAGGGGTGGGAAGCTAACAGTGTGGTGTGTGTACATATGTGTGAGGTAGCTTTCTCTAAGGACAACCCCCTTTTCATGGCAGTTACCATGTAGCTTCTGCCTTTAAATTATTAAGAGTCCTTTACAGTGATCAAGTCTTGACAACATATTCTTAGATACTGGATCTTCATCATTTCTGAGTACAAATCCTGAACAAAACAAAAAGCAAGCCAGACATGATCGTGTACACCTACACTCCTCAGTGAGTTTCAGGCCAGTCTGGACTGATACAGACTCTATATTAACAACCACCACTGAAAAAAACAACCAACCAAACAAATGAAAACCAACCAAACAAGCTTTACTTACCAAGCCCTCAAGAAGCAAGGTATGAGAGAGAACAGATGAAAACAAAGAATTAACTTTCGTTCAACTTCTTCAAAAGCAATCCCCTTTCTTTAGCTTTGTGGAACATGAAAGCAAGCCTCAGGATACTCTTCCGATCCTTCCTGAGTCTTACTGCTTTTTTCTCAGAGCATGTCCTTTTTCTCAGCTTAGTAACGAGGTCTCCACTGAAAGCTTTCTCTGATTTTCTCCAGGCAGAACAAGTAATTTCTTCCTTTGTATTGTGTACACTTACTCATTACAGGATTTGTTTAGGACCTGTTCCTACTAATCTATGACCTCCTAGAGGGCAAAGGCCTTGACTTCCAACCCCAATACACCTAGAACTGTGCCCAGTATGAGGTGAATTCTCAGGAAGTATTTCTTTTCTTCCTTAAAAAATATTTCTAAAATGTTATGTTTATGGACCACGTGAGTGCCTAGTGTCCATGGAGGCCAGAAGAGGGAGTCTAATCTTTCCTTTGGAACAGGACTGAACAACTTTATAGAAAGTTGTGATCTGCCATGTTGATGGTGGGAACTGAACCTGGGTCCTCTGGAGAGCAGCCAGTGCTCTTAACCACTGAGCCATCTCTCCAGCCCTCAGTACATATTTCTTACATGTTTTTGGACTATATTAGGTACAAAATAACAGATTCCAAATAATGACCTCTGGCTGGAGGACGTTATCTAATCAGCCAAAAGAGAAAGAAATGAAGAAAATAGTCCAGCTTTGTCATCCCTTTGTGAAGCCAAGGAAGAAAGAAACCAGCTATAAATGCTGGCTTGTTTCCATGACTACATCTGCCAAAGTCTGTCACTTGCTGTCATAGTTACAGCATATTTGCTGGAGTTGAGCAAACAAATTTAACAGAGAGAACAGTAAGTTCTGGGGCAAGGCAGGAAACAGTAGATTTAACTTCCAGTACAAATTGAGATAAAGTTTAAAGTAATTTGGTTTTTTAAATTTGTTTTGTTTTGTTTTGTTTTCTTGTTTTGTTTATTGAGACAGGGTTTCTCTGTGTAGTTTTGTGCCTTTCCTGGAACTCACTTTGGAGACCAGGCTGGCCTCAAACTCACAGAGATATGCTTGCCTCTGCCTCCCGAGTGCTGGGATTAAAGGCGTGAGCCACCACCGCCCGGCAGTTTAAAGTAATTTGGAAAGGCTTGGGATATAACTAAGTTGGTAGAACGCATGCCTAGTGCATACTAGAAGCTGGGTTCAGAACCAAGCACTGGATAACTGGGTACGGTCCCCATGCCTGTAATCTCAGTATTCAGAAGGTGGAGGCAGGAGGATCAGAAATTCAAGGTTAGGAACACTGAGCCTGATTGCCTGTGTTTGATTTCTAGAACTCACATTCTAAGGAGAGAACTGCCCCCAGAAAGTTGTCCTCAGACTTGCATACACAGGCTGTGATACCAGCAGTGCTCCTACACACACACACACACACACACACACACACTCACTACTCACTAATTTTTTTAAATACTTCAAGATTATTCTATAGTAAGTTCAAAGGCAGCCTTACCTAGAGAACTTGCCTTAAAAAAAAAAATTTCCGGGCCAGTGGTGGCACATGCTTTAATCCCAGCACTTGAGAGGTAGAGTCAGACATATCTCGGGGTTCGAGGCCAGCCTGGTCTATAGAGAGAGTTCCAGAACATCAAGGGCTACACAGAGAAACCCTATTTCGAAAAACAACAAAATCGATGATAATAATAATTTCAAGAGCTGTGAACATAGCTCAATTGATGACAGAGCATTTGCCTACAACATGCAAGTCCCTGGGTTCTACTCCCAAGACCCCTTTGACCCCCCAAATAGAAAAAGTCCATCACTCAACTCAAAGCTGTCCTCCACTCAGGTACTACCTGTTCATACATCAACGTATCCACTGAGCACAATTTTTTATGGCCTCACACTGAAAATTTTTCTGAAAGTGACAGTGAACAATAAAAAGTACCTACCATGTCTGCATATGGCCTTCATGTCATTCGCCACTGAACTGGGCCTGGCTACCAGTAATTCTATTTATTCTAACTTTTTAAGTCTGGCCACTTAGAGTTGACGGCTCCTTGTGCAAGGAGATATGGGTATGAGGAGGGAGGAACTGGAAACAGTTCAGATTAACAAAAGTCAATATCTACTACCGATCAGTTTTCCTGGCTAGAGACATTCTGAGCTAAAAGAAAGCCTTATGTGGACTGTAATCTGCAGAATATGAAGGAGAAAGGCAGCTTGTCTCAATACTTCCAGCTTCCAGAGATGCCAAGTTCGTAAGGAACCTTCCCTTGCTGTGGTTTACAGAATTTCACTGCTTCTTCAGTGTCCTAAGGAACGCACTTGTCAGCCAGAAGGCCCCGTTCAGAGAACCCCGTTAATTAAGCAGGATGGCAGAGCAGTTTGAAGACACTGCTAGGAATTCCTTATAATTAGGAGGTGTGTTTCTTTCCACTACCAAGAGGAGGTGTCTATTTACCAAATCTCTCACTGAGATAAGGCAGTATAAAGATTACAGCACATGTATATGCCAAAAAAGCACGGGGCAGGGGGACCTTTCACTTCCCACTTCTGTTCCCCATGCTCATCTATCAGCAAGTGCTCAGGGCTGGAGGTATATCTCATGGTAGAGCGTGTGACACACATACACACTCGGGATAAGTACCTTCAGGCGTGGGCAAGGTGGACGGAGGCAGCACTGCTTCCATTACCTTTTCAATGTTCACTTTACGTCTTTCTGCATCTTCCTGTCTCCAGTGTCCGTATCTGGCATTCACGTACCTACCATACATCCAACTTGCTCGCTCCTCACCCTTTCTGCCTCGGTCCGCGTCTGCCATCACCCCCGACACACTCCCTGCCTGCCCCAGCCGGACCCAGCCCCAGACACTCACCTGGTCCTCGCCCCGCACGCGTGGCCGGTCCTCCGGAAGCCCATCGCCGCCGCCGCCGCCGCCTTCGCCGCCGCCGCAGGGGTCTCCCAGCCCCTCGTAACCCAGGACGTGAGGACAGCCGCGGAAGGCGAAGTCTTCCAGCTCGCGCAGGAGACGCTGCTGCTCCGCCGGCGCCCCGCGCACTACCTGGCGCAGGCGGAACTGCACCTGCGCGAAGTGCGAGGACAGCGCGAGCAGGGCCGAGTCCAGCTGCCGCCGCTCGGCTTGCAGTCGCCGCAGCGTGCGGACGGTCGCGTCCGGAGGAGAGCCCGGAGCCGCTCCAGGCTCCTCGGCTGCCGCCGCCTCCTCCGAGAACGCCGCCGCCCCAGGCCCGGCCTCGGCCACCGCCCCCACTGGGGCCCAGCGCACTGCCTCGCATGGTGGCAACGACTCCTCCTCCTCCTCCTCCTCCTCCTCCTCCTCCTCCTCCTCTTCTTCGTCCTTCGCCTTTGGCCCCAAGGCCGTCACCACAGTGGCCTGCTCCGTAGCCACCTCCACGGCCGCCATCTTCCCGGAAGCGCCGCCGCACGTCAGGCGCGCCCCCTTGCTGCCATGACAACGGGCGCTGGCCGGGAAGCCTGGAGGAGCGGTGGGCGGGGCCTGCACGCCTCCGGTCTCCCGAGGGCCCGCCCGCTGGAGCCGACTTCAATGCACAGGGAATTAGACTCTACCCGAGTACTTAGGGTTGGGGGGACAAATGAACGAGGCCGAGGATAAGTAATTTCCTGTCTAGAGGGTCTAGGGTAGCCCTTTCCCTGGCCATAGAGGGTGAATGTATTCCTGATCCGTATATTTCTGGAGACCCCGAGACGTAAAGGGATGCAGTAAACTCTCCCAGAGTCCCCCTGGCGTTCAGATCACTTTTGCTGTCTTGCCACCTTTCCCTTCCTCTCAACCCTCACCCCTACCAAATAAGGAGAGGCAGCTGCTAGGCGCGCCCCTAGGATCTAAAGATAGAGGCCCTTGCCTGGGACTCCAAGAGCCACCGGGCAGTTGGAGCCACCATGGAACGGTGAGTTTCAGGCCACCATCACACAGATCCTACCCCCTTGCCCCTCTCCCTGCAGATTCCCTGCCCCACATCTTGTAGAAGCTGCTGATTCTGCCCAGATCCATCGGAGCCCGGGACCCCGGGCCTCTGTGACTGGGGTGAGAGGAGTGGTGTGAACTAAATGTACCTCCTAACTCACTTCCCTTGTCTTTCCGGGTTCGTTCTCACCACTTCCATCTGCTCCAACCACTCCCCTCCATCTGGTTCAGTGGCACTACATCCGACTATATTGTCTCCTCCCTCCGCCTCTCCGTATTGCCTTCAGTCTTGCCCACTCCTACCAAGCCCCACCTCCACCCTCTTCAGGCAGCACGCCCGGACCCTGTGGTACGACAGACCCAAATATGTTTACATGGAGTTTTGTGTTGAGGACAGCACCGACGTGAGTGTACTCATTGAGGATGACCGCATTGTGTTCAGGTAGTGGCCTTCCCCTTGGAAGGGCCTGGTGTCTCAGAACTGTGCCCTCACTTCCCGTGTCTCAGCTTTACTGTCTCTTCAGCTGCAGGAACGGTGACGGAGTGGAGCTGTACAACGAGATTGAGTTCTATGCCAAGGTGAACTCCAAGGTGAGGGCAGGGTAAGGACAGTCAGATCTGGACAGAAAGGCTGGCCAAGCCAGGAAACTGGAGGTTTATCCTAAAACTCAGTCTCTAAGACAGGCTGTCTTTCTGCCAGGACTCCCAGGATAAGCGCTCTGGTCGCTCTATTACTTGCTTTGTGAGGAAATGGAAGGAGAAGGTGGCTTGGCCACGGCTCACCAAGGAGGATATCAAGGTGAGTGTGTGGGGAGGGAGTCTGCTCCTTCTGTGCAGTCTATCTGTGTGCTCTCTCTGGGTACCCAGGCACCAGAGTTACATCTGGATTTGGGTTTGCCTTCCTTCAAGTCAGAATTCAGTGAGTTACCTGGGTCCTGTATATTTGATCTCCCAAATATTCTGAGATTTATGTATTTCCTCCTAGTCTAGACTGCATCCATCAGGCTTCATTGGGGGAACCTGTTTGTTTGTTTTTTGGTCTCTTTGTGTTTGCTTTTGAGACAGGCTCTTTTTTTTGTTTTGTTTTTCGAGACAGGGTTTCTCTGTGTAGCTTTGGAGCCTGTCCTGGACCTCACTCTGTAGACCAGGCTGGCCTCGAACTCACAGAGATCCGCCTGCCTCTGCCTCCCGAGTGCTGAGATTAAAGGCGTGTGCCACCACTGCCTGGCGAGACAGGCTCTTTCTATGTAGCTCAGGCTGGCCTTGAACTTGCCATCCTTCTGTCTCAGCATTCTGAATGTTGACTTTACAGGTATGGGCTTCTATGCCTGACTTCGTTGGGAGTTTGTTGCATATTTTCTGTCCCATCTCTTATCCCCACTTTCCATTGTTCCCAGTGTGGTCTGTTGAACTTAAGTTGACTTTGTCACTCTCACTTGAGGCTCCGAAAAGAACTTCTCTTCTAAAAGCTGAAAGGTGGCCACCTGCTGGCTGAATCTGGCTTTTACATTTATTTCAGTAGTTTCTTCACAGTTAAAAAAATTATTTTGAGTCTGGCAGTGGCAGCGCACACCTTTAATCCCAGCACTTGGGAAGCAGGGAAGCAGAGGCAGGTGGATCTCTGTGAGTTCAAGGCTAGCCTGGTCTACAGAGATAGTTCCAGGACAGGCAGGGCTACATAGAGAAACCCTGTCTCAAAGAGCATTGGTTGCTCTTGCAGAGAACCTGAGTTCAATGTGTAGCTCCAACACGGTGGCTTACAACCACCTGTTACTCCATTTCCAGGGGAGCCACACCTCCTTCTGACTTCCATGGGCATGTGATACACATACACACATGCAGACAAAACATTCATACACATAAAATAAAACAAATAAATCTTAAAAAACATTTTGATTGGCTATTGACATTCACAATTTTTTATTTTTTTTGCTGACATTAAAGAATGTAGATTATGAGCCGGGCGGTGGTGGCGCATGCCTTTAATCCCAGCACTCGGGAGGCAGAGCCAGGCGGATCTCTGTGAGTTTGAGGCCAGTCTGGGCTACCAAGTGAGTTCCAGGAAAGTCGAAAAGCTACACAGAGAAACCCTGTCTCGAAGAAAAAAAAAAAAAAAAAGAATGTAGATTATGGGGGCCAGTGAGATGGTTCAGTAGATAAAGTTGCTTGCTACCAAGCCTGATGACTTGATGATCTGAATCTGAGGCCCACCCCCACAAGTGTGACATTCATTCACTACACATGAATGAATACATAATAAATAAATACATAAATGTAATTTTTTTAAAGAATTTGTTTATTTTATGTGTATGGGTGTTCTGCCTACATGTACTGTAGCCTATTTGGATCTCCTGAAACTACTTGTGAATCACCACTGGGTGCTGGGAATTAAACCCTGGTCTTCTGAAAGAGCAGACAATGCTCTTAACCATTTAACCATCTCTCCAGTCCCCATAAATGTGATTTTAATACTTTGTTTGTTTGTTTTATTTTTATTTATTTATTTATTTATTTATTTTATTTTTTTTTTTGGTTTTTCGAGACAGGGTTTCTCTGTGTGGCTTTGCACCTTTCCTGGATCTCGCTCTGTAGACCAGGCTGGCCTCAAACTCAAAGAATTCCACCTGCCTCTGCCTCCCGAGTGCTGGGATTAAAGGCGTGCACCATCACTGCCCGGCATGATTTTAATATTTTTTATTATAAATTATGGGACTGGAGAGATGGCTCAGTTTTTAAGTTACTCCTCCAGAGGACCCAGGTTCATTTTCCAGCTCATAGTAGCTCAAATTAGAATTGCTTGTACCTCCAGTTCCAGAAGTTTCAGTGCCCTCTTCTGGCCTCCATGGGTACCAGGCAGGAACTTGGCACACAGACATAGGGGCAGACAAAATATAGCCAGGTGTGGTGGCACAAACCTTTAATCCCTACATGAGGAAGAGGCCGAGGCAGGTGGATCTCTGTGAGTTCAAGGTCATCCTGGTTTACAAAGCAGTTCTAGGCCTAGAACACAAACCAACATATACAAAAACAAAACAACAAAAAAATCCTGTTGTAGAATATTAAAGATGTGTTGTATTTGTTTATACTGTGGAATATTTGTTTAATGATGCAAAGATGTGTTGCATTCTTTTATGTTATATTTGTTTAACTCTGTGAAGCTGTGTTACTTTGCCTGCCTAAAACTGATGGTCTAATAAAGAACTGAATGGCCAATAGCAAGGCAGGAAAAAGAATAGGTGGGGCTGGCACACAGAATAAATAGAAGGAGAAGAACGTGAAGAGGAGGATGCCAAGGGCCAGCCACACAGCCAGACATGGAATAAGAAAGAAAGAAAAGATATACAGAAATAGAGAAAGGTAAAAGCCCAGAGGCAAAAGGTAGATGGGATAATTTAAGTTAAGAAAAGCTGGCTAAAAACAAGTCATGCTAAAGTCAGGCATTCAAAAGTAAGAATAAGTCTCTGTGTGTTTATTTGGGAGCTGGGTGGTTGGCCCCCAAAGAGCAAAGAGAAAAAACTACACCTCCCCAAGGAAAAAAAATCTTTAAAATGAATATGTATGAATATTCAATTTTCTTTTTTTTCTTTCTTTCTTTTTCTTTTTTTTTTTTTTTTTTTTTGGTTTTTCGAGACAGGGTTTCTCTGTGTAGCTTTGCACCTGTCCTGGAACTCACTTGGTAGCCCAGGCTGGCCTCGAACTCACAGAGATCCGCCTGGCTCTGCCTCCCGAGTGCTGGGATTAAAGGCGTGCGCCACCACCGCCCGGCTCAATTTTCTTTTGAGACAGGGTCCCACGTAGCTTAGACTGAACTTTATCTTGCTATATAGCTAAGGATGACCTTGAACCCCTGGTTCTCTAGGCTTCACCTGAAAAATGCTGGCACGATTGATTGTAGCATTACACCTGGCTTTAAATGTGGGCACTTTGGCATATGGTTCTCACCATTTATAGTCAGATTTTTCTTTGGGCCGTCAGCTCACAAATAACAACACAGAGACTTATTATTAATTATGAAAGCTTGGCCTTAGCTTGGGCTTGTCCCACTAGCTCTTACAACTTAGATTAACCCATTTATTTCAATCTATGTCCTGGCTCGTTAACTCATCTCTCTGTACTGCCCATGCTGCTTCCTCTGCTGGCTGGTGACTCGGCTTTCTTCTTCCCAGAGTCCTCTCTCTGCCCGGAAGTCCCACCCATACCTCCTGCCTAGCTATTGGCCATTCAGCTTTTTAGTACACCAGTCACAGCAAGACATTTTCACACCGTGTACAAATATCCCACAACAAAGGGGTGCCTCTGACTCTGGGGAGTGCAGCTTGTCTGTCTTGCTTGGTTGAATCCTAGGATGCTTTGGGTTCCCTGTCCATCAGTCCTTGAAGGATAGAACTCTGTGCTTTTTCAGACCTTGCTGTTCTTGGCATTATGTTTGGCACTGAGTAGATTCAGGTGAACATTTGTGGATGCAGCTTGGAGGGTGGGTTGGCCCATAGGGGTGCATGTGGGAACACTAGCATGCTGACCTGTCCCTGTGAGGCCTCCGACTGTGCCCATGCCCCCGCTCTTCCCGTGTTCCCCTGCTTCTCTCCTTCCCACCGGTAACATCTGTGCTTCCTCTGGCAGCCCGTATGGCTCTCCGTGGACTTTGACAACTGGAGAGACTGGGAAGGAGACGATGAGGTGGAACTGGCTCAGGTGGAGCATTATGCAGAGGTAGGAGACACAGCACCCTGCTGCCCATCCCAGGCTTTCACATCCGGCCAGGCACGGGTATTGAACTCCCCAAGCAGGCCGCTCACTGGTGCTGATATGCTGTATAGTTTATTCATTGTTCAGTTAGGAGAAATTAGTACTAGTGAAATTTAAAAGAGAAGAATTAAAGATTTATCATTTTATTTGCTTTTTTTTGAGACAAGTTCTTATGTAGGATGGTTTGGAATTTGCTATATAGACCAGGCTGGCTTGAAATTCACAGATATCCACTTGCCTCTGCCTCCCTAGGACTGGGATTAAAGGTGTGTTCCACTATGCCCAAGGTTATTTTCATTTTTGTGTTTGCATGTGTGTTGGATCCCTTGGAGCTGAAGTTACAGGAGGTTGTGAATTGTCTGACATGGGTGTTGGGAACAAAATTTGAATCCTCTGGAAAGAAGCAGGTACTCTTAGCTGCTGAGCCATCTTTAAAAAAAAAAAACCAAAACTTAACACATTTTACTTATTTATTTGTGAAGGCCAGACCACACGTCACAGAACCAACTTGTGGGAGTCTGTATTCTGTATTTCTAACATGTAGGTCCCAGGGATTGAACTCATGAATGAAGCTTGGCAGCAGGTGCCTATTCAAACTGAGCCATCTTGCCAGCCCATATTAGTAGATTTTCACACCCTTAAGTTACTGTTTGCAGAGTAGTGCCTGCGTTCTGTAAAAACATTTTTGGTTGTGAGCCTAGCCTTTAAGAGCTGAGCCATCTCTCCAGCCCCAGTTCTGTTAAAATGTAACAAAAGCTCTTCTGTATGTAACAGTCCTGGCTGTCCTGAAACTCGCTCTGTAGACCAGGCTGGCCTTGAACTCACAGAGATCCGACTGTCTCGACTCCCTAGTGCTGGGATTAAAGGTGTTAGATACCACCACCCAGCAGGGTCTCCTAATGTAGCTGAAGCTGATCATGAACTTTTGATCCTCCTGCCTCAGCCTGTGAGTGCTAGGATTATAGGCCTGTGATTCCACACCCACTTTAAACTAGGTTTATTTATTTTTTAATTTATTTATGTTGTTTTGTTTTTTGTTTTTTCGAGTCAGAGTTCCTCTCTGTTGTTTTGGTGCCTGTCCTGGGTCTTGCTCTGTAGACCAGGCTGGCCTCGAACTCACAGAGATATGCTTGGCTCTGCTTCCCGAAGGCTGGGATCAAAGGTGTGTGCCACCACCGCCCAGCCCAGCTAGATTTTCTTTTTTTTTTTTTTTTTTTTTTTTTTTTTTTGGTTTTTCGAGACAGGGTTTCTCTGTATAGCTTTGCGCCTTTCCTGGAACTCACTTGGTAGTCCAGGCTGGCCTCGAACTCACAGAGATCCGCCTGGCTCTGCCTCCCGAGTGCTGGGATTAAAGGCGTGCGCCACCACCGCCCGGCTTTAGATTTTCTTTTTAAGTTATTTTTATCTTGGTTTGTTTGGTGTTTTGATTTTTAATTTATCATGTGTGTGCATGTGCGTTTGAGTGAGTTTATGTGTCTCATGGGAATGCAGGTGCCCCAGGAGATCAGAGAGCAGTAACTGCCTGCTGTGGGTGCTGGGAACTGAACTTGGTTTCCCTGCAAGAGCAGTAAGTGCTCTTAACCTCTGAGCCATCTCTCCAGTCTCCGTAATTAGCTTTTAAGAAAGGGAATCATCTCAAAAAGAAAAAAAATAAGAATAAGACTATCAATTGACTTCTCTCCAATTAATGGCTGGGTCTGGGACCATTCTCCTGTCTCTACTCACGTTCCGACTTCTCTTCCCTCACCCGTCATCTCTTGTGACTGTTTCTATCTTCCCATTAGCTTTTGAACAAGGTCAGCACTAAGAGACCTCCCCCTGCCATGGATGATCTGGATGTAAGTAGCACCTTCCCTAGATCTTTCAGTTTCCTTTCAGCTTTTAAAGATAATACTTAGAGCTGGAGCTGGATACAGCTCAATGGAAGAGTGGTTTCCCACCACGCATGAGGCCTCCTTAAAGGCATAGAAGAAAAAACATAAACATGTAAGAATGTGTATTCCATTCTCCAGCACACAGTAGTTCTCCGCATGTTAACCGAGTGGGGGTGGGGGGCTGGGGGGTTGGAGGATGGGGGGTTGTGGGGTTTGAGCAGCATCATTGATGGTCACCATAGGAACAACAGGTGCATTCTCTTCTCTTTTCAGGATGATTCTGACAGTGCAGACGCAACAACGGATTAGCCTTCTGTGACAGCAGAGCTGGGGAAGAGGCTGTCTGTCATTCTGTCCTGCTGAAAGCATGAAGGGCCGTCACCAACCATTTTGTTGTGCATCAGGATCCACTGAGACCTCTGAACTTTTCCAGCAGCTCTTTTCTTTTTCTTTTTTCTTTTTGTTTTTCAAGACAGGATCTCACTATGTAGCCCCTGGATGTCCTGGAACTCACTCTGTAGACCAGCCTGGCCTCACACTCACAGAGATCCTCCTGCTTCTGTCTCCCAAGTGCTGGGATTAAAGACCTGTGCCACCATGGCCTGGCTCAGAAGCTCTTTTTTTTTTTTAAGATTTACTTATTTATTATGTATACAGAAGAGGGCGCCAGATCTCATTACAGATGGTTGTGAGCCACCATGTGGTTGCTGGGAATTGAACTCAGAACTTCTGGAAGAGCAGCCAGTGCTCTTAACCTCTCTGAGCCATCTCTCCAGCCCCCAGAAGCTCGTTTTTTTTTTGGTTTTTCGGGACAGGGTTTCTCTGTAGCTTTGGAACCTGTCCTGGATCTCGCTCTGTAGACCAGGCTGGTCTCAAACTCACAGAGATCCGCCTGCCTCTGCCTCCCGAGTGCTGGTATTACAGGCGTGTGCCACCACCGCCCGGCTGAGAAGCTCTTTCTTAAGGGTACCTCTTCAGCCTAGATCTTCCTCCTAGTCTCTCCAGTGTAGTCCTTCATCAGCTAGACGGGATGGAGGGGATGGCTGCTGGCACTTCTGACTTCCCACTGATTTGACTTAGAATCTGTGCTTGAGGTGCTGGTTGTTTTTGCACACATGTTTATATGTGGTAAAGCAAAGGCCAAAGAAGAAAAAGATGACAATAAATCCTAGGAGGGATGCCGTCTCTCCTTCTTATGCGTTCCCTCCCTGTGGAAAGCTGCTTTCTCCAGAGATTCTGGCCCCCTTTGCAGTGGAACGCTGTTGCTGGACAGGCTTGTATTCAAGCCAGGGGATTTCATCCCACCCAGATAGACACCGGTCACCCCTAGACCCTTAGCTTCCTGTATATCTCTGTGGTTAAGAGTGTGTAGTGTATTTTTTAGAGGACAGGAGTTTGGTTCTCAGCACCTATATCAGGTGGGGCACAGCGACCTGTAACTTGGTACACATACACATAAATAAAAATAAAGCCGGGCGGTGGTGGCGCACGCCTTTAATCCCAGCACTTGGGAGGCAGAGACAGGCGGATCTCTGTGAGTTCGAGGCCAGCCTGGACTACCAAGTGAGTTCCAGGAAAGGCGCAAAGCTACACAGAGAAACCCTGTCTCGAAAAAACCAAAAAAAAAATAAATAAATAAAATAACTTTAAAGTCCAAATGATCATAAATCGTAGGTTCCTGAGGTTTGTGGGTTAAACTTCTTCCCTCTAGTTAAAAAGTTACATGACTCAGGAGGCAGAGGCAGGTGGATCTTTGTGAGTTCGAGGCCAGCCTGGTCTACAGAGCGAGATCCAGGAAAAGGCGCAAAGCTACACAGAGAAACCCTGTCTCAAAACACCAAAAAAAAAAAAAAAAAAAAAAAAAAAAAAAAAAAAAAAAAAAGTTACATGATGAAATACTATGGATTTTTGTTTGTTTATTTATTTATTGGATGTGCATTGGTCTTATGCCATGGGTGTTGGGTCTCCTGGAACTGGAATTACAGTTGTGAGCTGTCATGTGGGTGCTGGGAATTGAACCCGGGTCCTCTGAAAGAGCAGTCAATGCTCTTAACCACTGAGCAATCTCTCCAGCCCCTGGATGTTGGTTTTAAATAAAATATTAACATATAATGCCTTGTCTATTTCTGTCCAGCCCCTCTTTATTTCCACCTCCATGTACCGGGCCTCTGCAGTCCAAATTACACGGCCCCAAGAGCTAGCTGAAGAACGTCTCAGATCGAGTTGTGAATTTTGTTTTGTAGTCTCTCAGTCTTAAAACGGTAACAAAACACCACAGAACACCCGCAATTAGCAGTTTCAGGAAATTTGTTCAAACCACACCTCTTCCTTTACGCGTTTACGTTCGCGCAGAAACGCTTAAGAAACTTTGTCCCAGTTCGGTTTCCGTCCTCCGCCCGGCTTTTCTGCGCGCGCTGGTCTCCAGGGCCTGGGAGACCGCGATGGCGTTCCTGTGTCAGCGCGATAGCTATGCACGGGAGGTGCGGCCTGGTGGGAGGGGGTCCTGGGGCCGAGGGTGCCACCCGGAGGGAGGGCGCGGGCAGGCTCCAGTCTCGGCGTGAGAGGGCTCACACTCGCCTCCCTCTCTGCCCAGTTCACCACCACCGTGGTCTCCTGCAGCCCCGCCGAGTTGCAGACGGACGCGAGCGGCGGCAAGAAAGAAGTGCTGAGCGGTTTCCAAGTGGTTCTGGAAGACACGCTGCTTTTCCCCGAGGGCGGGGGCCAGGTACCCGGAGCAGCCTCAGCCCGACCCCCTCCCAGGGGCCCCCACGTTCCCATTCGCCCCTGCAGAAAACACGCTCGCCCTTTCTCAGCCTCAATAAACCCGACTGTTAGTTCATTGCATTATTCATTCAGCAAATGCTTATGTAGTTATGACACGTGCAGTGTGTCATATTCCAGACGCTGAAGATAAAGGGTGAGCAAGACAGTGCCTCTAAGTACGTGGTGTGCTTATTGCAGACAGCCCTGTATGTCAGCTATAAGTAATAATAACGTCACTAGGAATAAAGCTGGGTAAAGGGAAAGAGAGTGGTGGGGTGCTCTCCTCTGTGGAGATCATTCTAGACTACTCGGTACAGATGTCTGTGAACAGAAGGGGTGAGCCACTGCACCTGTCTAGTGTTTCTGGGGCAAGAGAAAGATTTTAGGCAGACAGAGTAACTGTGCAAAGGCCCTGAGATGGAAATTAACACCAAGTGCCTTACAGGGACTGAGAAAGCTGCCTCGGAGAGAGCTCAGGAGAGGGGGATGGCCTTACAGAGCCCGATGGAGAGCCTGACTCCAGTGTGCAAAAAGAAGAGAGTGACACCATAAGTGGGCATTGTGAGAGAGGTTTCACTAGCCAGGTGGATAGCATAAACAGGGGTAGTGAAGCCTGACAGAATCGGGTAAATCTGACTGTAAATAAAATAAATAATGCACTGGTGCTTGAGCTTGTGGTACATGTGGAAGACAAGCTTTGACCAGGTGATTGAGGCTAGTTCAGAGGGCCTTGGAGGGTGTATCAAGGTATATGGACTCCATTCAGGAAGCCAGTGAGCTGTGGAGGATCTGAGGCAAAGAAGTGGTTCAAGAGGATTCAGTAGAGGGGTGAGGGGAAAGCGTTTGTTAATCAGTCACTTATTTTCCCACATGGCTACGTCCTGAGCTGCTAAAGAGAAACCCTTGACCCTCAAGTGTCTGTAGAGTGTCTCTTCTTTTTATTATTTTTAAAACTACATTTATTCATTTTATTTTTATTTGTGTGTGTGTGTGTGTGTGTGTGTGTGTGTGTGTATGTGTATGTGTGTGTATGTGAAAGAGAGAGGACTTGTGGGAGCTGGTTTTCTCCTCCTACCCAGGTGCCAGGGATCGGGGAACTCAGGTATTCAGGCTTGGTAGCATCTTATCAGCCCTGAAACCTTCATATTACGCACTTCCTTCAGTTTTCCTAGGTTCCCCAAAACTATTAGGTCTCTTTAGATTTAGTTTCTGAGGCATGATTCCCACTGCGTTATTTGCTTGGCACAGTGCCTTATAAGCAGCTGGCACTTGCTACTTTTCTAAATGATGAATGTTGTTGTATCTAATTCTGGCATTGGTGCTGAAGAACGAGGGGTTAAAGGCTGGAACCCTCAGGCACTTTAGAGACTATTTAAGATAATCTAAGGTGACAACAATTAGGATTAAGGCTCTGGGTTTTACTAAAATCTTCACTACTGTGCTTGCTTCTTTTTGTTTTAATTCTGCTATTCTGCCCTAAAGAACAACATATATAGGTGTTTAAAAGGAAGACAGGAAATCCTGTCATAGAACAAAGTGGGCCCGCCTCACTTGACATTGTTTCCTCTTCCCCTAGGAAACTCAGGATCTGGGTTTGTCTCTCTGAGAGCTTCCCCTTAGGGTGTCGTTGCATCTTGGTAGGGTGAGACCTGCCCTAGTGTTGATTACTTTTTTCCCCCAGCCTGATGACCGTGGTACCATCAACGACATCTCTGTGCTGAGAGTGACCCGTCGTGGGGCCCAGGCCGATCATTTCACACAGACACCTCTGTCCCCTGGGAGCCAGGTCCAGGTCCGGGTGGACTGGGAGCGGAGGTTTGACCACATGCAGCAACATTCAGGTAAGGGCCACAGGATGGGGAAATATAGGGAGATGAACTGTGAATAGCAGTGTCATAATGATGGAAGTGGAGTTTCAATCCTCTAGGAGTTAGCCTTTTTTTTTTTTTTTTTTTTTTTTAAAGATTTATTTATTTATTATGTATACAGCATGTATGACCGCAGGTCAGAAGAGGGCGCCAGATCTCATTATAGATGGTTGTGAGCCACCATGTGGTTGCTGGGAATTGAACTCAGGACCTCTGGAAGAGCAGTTAGTGCTCTTAACCTCTGAGCCACCTCTCCAGCCCGGAGTTAGCCTTTTAAGGGATGGATATTCTTAGAGTCAGCTTTGATTCAGGTAGTATATGACAGGTGTTGTGAAAATAACATGAATATTAAAGTTCTAGAAGAACTATTGGCCTTTTTGTCTCCTTTTTTTGGGGGGGGGGGGCGGTTTCAATACAGGATTTCTCTGTGTAACAGTTCTGGCTGTCCTGGAACTTGTTTGTAGACCAGGCTGGCCTTGAACTCACAGAGATCCATCTGCCTCTGCCTCCTGAGTGCTGGGATTATAGGTGTGTGCCATCATTGTCCGGCTTTTTCTCTGTTTTAAAAATACTTTTTCTTTATTTATCATTATGCCTGTGGAGGTCAGAGGACAGCTTGTGGGAATCAGTTCTCTCCTTTGATCTCAGTTTGTTAGGCAATACCTTACTTATTGAGCCATCTCGCCAGCCCTTACTTGGTTTTTGGGGGGACAAAGTTTTCCTACGTAGCCTTGGTTAGCCTGAAACTCAGTATGTAGATCAAACTGACCTCCTGCCTCCTAAATACTGGATCACAGGCGTGAGCCACCGTGCCCACTCAGTTACTGCTGGTTAGGAATGTTCCCACATGTCTCTATCTGGATGTCTTGTAGGTTTTCAAATTCATAATGTCCCAAAATGAAAGGGAAAGGCCATCATCTTCTACTTGGGCTTACATTAATATACTGTTGGTCATCAACATATCCTCAG